CATGCTATGTGGGCCCGACTGGCATCAAAACAACGTAGACGATCTAGTCGTGCTGACAAACAAAGTGTGGTTTCTAGTCCGGGGTGATTGCATGACCGTTTCAGGCTTTTCTTCCCTCCTCAGCCACCCATACGGGGGGACTGGCGCCCCGCTGATCAGGTTCCCAGGGGTTGGGCTCGCTCTTATGCCCGGATTGGATGCCTGATGAGTTCTGAACATGCACAAATGAACTTCTAACCAATCCAAGGTGTATGCCCTTTGATTACTGGTTGCTCGTCAGCCTTCAACCATCCGCTAGAATCTTGCCATGGTCTCCAATGCAAAAAGGAGTAGGTCTATTCAGTCCTGCGCTCAGCTCGTGTCGGTGATCGTCTTTCACATAAGATGTGAAATTCTCTATCGCAACCAAGTCTGGCCTGATCTGACGCTTACTGATGGATCGTTGCACTTCTGTGTGCTTAAAACACGTCTTCCCCCAGGTCTTCGCAATGGTCCATAATTGGGTGAACGCTTTTCCTGGCCCAGAACTGACCGTCACGGCTTCCCCGTTTATTCGTTCGTTAATTCCACTTTGACGAATGTCGGACCACGTGCTCTGATTGGCAGGTCTACCCATCTTCTGCTACCCCCTGTGTTATCTCCAGGCTCTACGGCGCTTCCCTAAAGCCTCCGGTCTCAATTTGACGCTCAGAGAACGGCGCAACACTGTCAGTTCTTGAAGTTCCCAGGTCGTCATAAAAGTTGCCGTGGTACGCGCTCAGCCACCTGTTTGACTAATGATAGCCCGGCTAAATGTATTTCAACTCTTGGCAGGTAACCATGGCAACAGCAGAGGCTGGCAGCGACTACGGCACACACGCACACACAGTCGGCGCGGCTCTATAAACCCACCTCAAAGGAGCTATATGGCGTGAATAGTGAGCAAATGAAAAGCGGTGTCCTTCGCATGTATATCAGCAGAGTATACTATGAGCATACAATTTATGACTGCATAATGTGTGGATGAAAAGCCCGCGAGTCGCATTTTTCGGAGCGACTTTCAAAGTTATCGGATCATGTTGCGCTCTCTGATTAGACGTCTGGTTGTCTGTGCGGAAGCAGACAAGGATGCGATCACTAGGCTTACGTTTCGAATTTTCACCCGAACTGCTCATCAGAAATCACTGATGATAGGGTTAATGAAGACACAGCGATGGATGCCGGTGCTGGTAATTGCGTAAGCATGCGTTTACTGTACCTTTTCTGCCTCCTGTTAGGCTGGACTCAAGTGAGAACGCCAAACGTCAAGCCTTCTTGGGGAATCGAGTGGTTGTGGCTGTGGACGAAAAAAAGCCAGTGGCAGCCTTTATTCACCTTGTGGAATGCACAACCATGTTGGTAAGCCAGCGAAAGCAACTAATGTCAGTAGGTCAGGGGAGACTCGCCAGAGACCCGTTAACAGAAAGCAAAGTGTCGGCTTACATCCAAAGAAAAATACCCTGGAAGCAACCGAAACTCGCCTTTTCTATGGTAACGGTAGAAGTAGTGGCTGTGCTTAGATTAGAGCACTACAATCATCAGGTCGAAATCCCAGGTTGTAGGTAAAGGACAGAAAGCATCAATGAAAGGGATTTATTGTGCACAGAATCCTATCTTGTTGTCTCAGGCAGTGGCCGGCTGGCTAGTAGCCCTTGTTGGATCCGGAGCCCCGTCAGGTGGGCCTCAATCCTAGCGGCGAGGAGGAGGAGGAAGAGCAGCAGCATGTTCGGGAGGGGCTGATCTGTCATCAAAACACAGATGCAGAGGAGGAGAA